AAAAAAGCTTTCGTTTTAATGTTACACCAACTGTTACACCTGATCTTGCGATCTACATAAGAAAATTTCCTTATTTGTTTTGTATCACCGGCGCAAATAAGTGTACGCAAAGAAATTTGTATATGTAGATCGCAAGAGCAGATGCAATCTTTGTGTAACGTGAAATCGAAGGCTTTTTCAAAACATCAAAATTTTGCCTAATAAATCACTTTTTACGTTCTAATAAAAAAAATCCTGACCAAATTTTACTATACCATTCTTTATACCAACCTTAACCCTAATGCTGGTAAACATTTCACGTGCTTTTAGCGAAATATTTGTATCACTTGCAGAAATAAGTAAATCCTTTATTAATTGGTCGTTGAACGATTATCACATATTGGATTGATACTTTGATCGGTAATAATGATTAAATCTGTTATAGTGCAATATCATAATATCAATCGTAGCAGGCAGAACATATTATTTTGATTATCGTTATGACGGAGTAAAAAGACGAACTAAAGTTTTTATTTATTATCAAAAATCCGCTGACATAGACAATATTCTTTGAATGTACAATTTAGTGCCTGTTATTGTCGTAAGATTGGAATTGAAAGAGATGAACATAAGGAATTGTTCTATTATGATTGTGACGAATATAAGTGCCTCTATTACATCAAAAAACCCTTTGAAAATGAGGGTCAGAGCTCATTACAAAGGATAGTTTAACAACCTTATATTAAAAGTATTTTATAGGCCAATCAATCGTAGTGCGTTAAACGATTCTTAGAGAATAAGTTCTGACCGATCCTTAAAACAACCGATCAAAACTTAAAGGTTTTTTTTTTGCCTTTTTTTTTTTTTTTGATGTAAATAGAAGCACTTACCTTCGCCACAATCAATAGAGTGATGATCATCATTCGAACGATCAATAGGATCGATTTGCCATGGTCGATCAAAACCCTGATCATTCTCGATCATGATCGATTTTTATTTTTAAAACACTTATTTATTTATTTCTTAAATTCAATAACCCATAAATATCATATATTTTGAGATACATTAATTTTTTTTTAACACTGAAGCCCTCAATATATAAATGTTCTAAATTTCCTAATTTAACATCAATAACGTAAATAAATGTTCATAGTTACTATCTCTCAGTAATCCACCTTTAGCATGTATATAGTGCTTGCTTCTTGCACTTCGTTGCATATCGAAAATTTTCACAAAAATCAAAACGTTTTGATTTCACTGACCAACTAAATATAAAAAAATATGAATGTACACAATCAAAGATGGCCATAAACTATCTTTCACTTTCTGTGAAGCTCTGTTTCTGACTTTCTATTTAGTTTTTTTAAAATTATCTCTTATTAGTTTTTTTATATCTAATTTTGATGTTTCGGCTGTTTTTTTTTTTTTTTGAGAATTGTTTGTTTCTTTTTTAGAGATTATATTTTGCATTTTTTTTAATTGTTTGCTTCGTTCTTTTTGAAATTTCTCCAATCCAGCCTTTAGTTTATCATTTATATGCTGATTTATTTTATCTGTTATTACATTTGTTAGACATCCTAATGCTCGAGTTTTAATTTTAGTTAGAACAAATTTTGTTGCGCATTTTTCATATAATTCTATTAGTTTTTCTTTTACTTCATTACCCAATTCCATTTTTTTTAACTTGTTATATTTATATAATATGGTTATTATTTCTGATTTATTGTTATTATATTTCTTAAAATCTGCTTCTTGTGCCTTGTTTTCATCAAATTCTTCTTCTTTTATTGCCTCATATTCTTTTAATAGCTTTATTATTTCTTTCGCATCTTTTAAATTGATTTTTGGCTTTAGTTTCTTTTCTAAAATTGTCTCAAACTCTATCGTTTGTCTTTCTATCTTACTTTTAAATACTTTTGATATTTCTTTTGCTGTTTCTTTTGCTACTTTATTTATTCCGCTTAATGTTGTGACTATATCTGTACCTTTAATAACTATTGAAATCTCTTTTAAAATTGGAAATTCACTTTTTAATATTTCTTCTAATCCACTATCTATTAATTCTCTAAATATATTTTGCTTGTCTTCTAAAATTTGTAATGTATTTATCGCTAATCCATTACATTCTCCCTCCTCACATAATGCATCTTTTGCTAATAATTTGTTTAAATACGTTAATATAGTTGGATCGTCTAGACTTACTCTTAATTCTTTTAATATAGTTTCTTTTACTTCTTCTCTAAATTGATTTAAAATCTTTTCTGCGCCGGTATCTAGTAATTTTTGTATGATTTTTGTTATTACCATATTTAGTCCTATTTCTGTTAATAATGAAGAAATAGATGTTGGATCAGATGTCTTGGCTATAGGTATATTCAGATATGATGATAATGTTTCTAATCCTATTGAAAATAATGTTGCGAATATACTAACTGCCTTTTTACTTATATAATCTTCTATATTAAAATTATTCTCTCCTTTTAATAATAATAATAAATCATATATATCATTAATACCTCCTCCTATTAAAAATGCTCCTAATGTTGTATTTCCATATATGAAACAAAGAATTCCTATCCCGATTTGCGCTACTCCTGCTACTTCTAAAAATATCACTCCAAACCAATCTACTTCAAATTCTACATCAAAAAGATAGCATAGTCCTTCAATTTTAAATTCTCTTATCTCCGTTTCTAAATTTTTATCGTTAAAATATTCTTCTAAGTCAATTTTGTTTATTTGTAAGTTTTTCTCAATTTCACTATTGCATTTTTCAATTGTCTTTTTTATATTATTTTTAATTGTTTTTAATATTTGTATCTTATTAAGTATTTGTTTTGATAGTTCACAACTTGGGCGGAGTAAAAGTGTAAGTTGCATATATTCTAATTGAGGTATTAAAATTTCATCTATTCGGTTTTTTGCTATTGATAATTTAGTAAAAGCTTTTTGTTTATAACCTTCTTCCTGTTCTTCAATTATCGCATGAGCTAAATTATAATTTGCTGGTAACGAAAAATTTTTTTCTAAATTGCATGCACCTTCTAAAATATCTATTTTTTCTTTAACTTTTGATTTTTTAATTCCAATTTGAACCATATAGGCAGGATTGATCATTATTTTGTAATCCTCCATGTATGCTTCTTTTATTTCATTAAAAAATGTTTTAAAATAATTAATGCTCTCCTGTTTTACTATCAGATTATATTTTTTTATCTCTTCTGACTCTCGTTTTATAATTTCATCTAGTAATTTTCTTATCTCTTTTCTTCCAAAAAGATCTACATTACTTTTATATTCTGCAGCTTCTACTTCCGTTATTATTGGATATTTCTCTATAGTTTTGTTATTATTTGAATCTTTTATTAATGGTATATAATTTCTATAATATTTTTTACTTCCTGCTGCTAAACCTATATAAATTGTTTCTTTTGAATCTTTTATTTTGTAAATCTCCGTACTTTCTTGATTACTGCTTATTATTACTATATTCCTTCTTAATATTGATACTAAACTTTTTAATGCTTCTTGATCATTAAAGCTTTCTGCAGCTTTTTCGTAAAAATTAGCATCAAATATATTATTATATTCTATATATTGATATCGTTTATTATATCTTTTAGTAAAAGTATCTAAAAAGTGACCTAATGTAAACCAGAGCAGGTGCTCACTACTTGCATTATTCTTCAAGCTTATGTTGATTGCATTGTATAAACTAAATATTTTTTTATCAGTATTATGTAGTTCATCCGGTTTAAACCCAAAATTTCTTGCTATTTTGTTTAGTTTTTCTTGTGTATTGATATCATAAGCTAATGTTTTTTGGAACTTTTTTAGTTCAATTCCCCATTTTTCTTCTATTTGCAGCAGTTTATATTGATATATATCACCTTCCTTTCTTTCTTCTGCCGTCTTTTCTTCTATTTTCTTCTTTTCTATTTCTCTTAAATATTTATCAACCTCTAAATATATCTCAAATAAAATATCTCTTAATTCGACTTCCTCTGTTTTATATAATTTAGTCTCCAGCATTCTTATATATTCTCTACAATTTCTAAACTGCTTAAATTCATATATATTGTTTAAAACATTAGATACATTGAAATGTTTTTCAGTATATATTCTATCAATTATCAATTGCGCAGTCCCTTTTGCTCCCTGTCTCGCTGTTCTTCCAAATGCTTGTTTCTCCACTCTTGAATTTGATGGTAAAAAAGTAACTATAACATGTAATCCTCCATTTTTTTCAACCCTAGTACTTGTTTTGATATCTGTTCCTCTTCCTGCTAAGTTTGTTGCAATTATTATATCTCCTGAGTCAACTTTCTCTTTTACTGCTGAACATTCATCATTATCATTATCATTTCTAGAATATAGTCTTATTTTCAATCTTTGATCAACTTTTATTAAAAAATTATAAATTGTTGATGCATCTTCAATTGTCTTACAAATAACTAGTATCGCTCTTCCTCTCTCTTTTTCTTGTATTGTATTAGTAATAATGTTTATATACCATTCAGTCTTATCGCTAGCTACTATTCCTTCTAACTCTTTGAATTGTTTTGCTTTATATGTTGGAATAAATCCAAAATCTATTTTATAAATTGAAGATATCAAGTCTTGTTCCTCCTTAGATCCAACTGTTCCAGTCATTCCATAAATCTTAGTTCTATACTTTTTAAAATATCTCAGATTCGAAATAAAACTTGTAACTACTGTTTCAGGTATAAGCTTATGTCCATGCCTTATTTGCAAAAATTGATGTAATCCATTAGAATATGTCATACCATCTTGAACTATTCCTGTACTGTTGTAGTCAACTGGTGCAATTTTTAAGTTTTTATTTTTATCTTTTATCGCTAGATAATCTCTCCTCTCATATATACCCCAGCTTTGAATTGCAGATTCAACTAACTCTTCTATAAACTTTAACCGAAAATCTCTTAAAAATTCTGGTAGCTCTATTACTTTTTCTTTTATTATCTTTGTTGTAAATTCTGTTAATTGTTTAGAAATAAATTCGTACAAATTATCAATTTCATGTATTTTTGTTTCTTTTCCTAAGTAGAGATTTTCTTCTTCTTCCTCGAACTCACCATCCAGATATACTATCTTTTCTCCTACCTTTGTAATCCGCTTGCTTATAGTATTTAACTCATTTGCTACTCCGCAAAATACTGGATTTAGATATTCAAATCCAGCTAGTCCTCCTGTTAATCTTGCAGTTCTGCTACTGTCATCAATCATCATATTATCGACTTCATCTACAATTACCACCCCAAATCCTCTGTCCCATCTAGTACTCCTTCTTTTATGTTCGTGTTCCAGCCAATCAAATTAAATCTCCATAAACTACGCTGTTTAAATAGCATTTTTTCTTAAGTTCAATTTCACCACTAGGTAGTTCATTTCTCGAATAGTCTATTTCCTCTTCACCTTCATTAGACCCACAATTGATCCCTAAAGTTTCATAAAAACTTTTTCTCTCATCAGCGTCTCTCTTTGCTAGAATAGGGGAACTTGTTATTATATCCACATTCTCTCCTTGTAATGCCTTAATACTCGCAAGCATAGCACATATTGTAGACTTTCCTTCGCCTGTGGATATTTGTAACAATCTACCTTGTTCCTTTGACGATTCAAAAAGTAATATAGCTAAAACCTGGGTAAGTCTCGGATCATTTCCACAATAAAGGATATTTGTTCTCTTAAGGACTGCTATCATTTCTTCCAGAAACTCTGGATCTCTTGTAATTTCCGTTCCCTTTACAAAATTAGCCCAATTTCGTATATTTTCTTTGTTCCAATACTTAATTTTATTTCTTTGTGGAAAAACTCTTGAATCGGCTTCGAAAGCTTCTGTAACTTTGGTTACTTGAGTTCTCAGAATTCCTTTATTTACTAAATCACAAATTCTGGGTTCATCATGATTAAGACGTAGTATTTCCTTTAATAATTCCTCTAAATTTCTCTCTTCGCCAGTTCTTTGATTCATATTTGCTGAGTTTTTGGAGTCAAGAGCGTGTAATCTCTGTTTTAACTTTTTTTTATATTTGGAACTGGACAGATCAGGATTCATGCATATGAAAGCCAATCATGTATATAAATGCCCATCAAAGATTTAAATTAAAGGCTTTTAGTTAGCGTTATTGTTAGTTTTACCATATCTGCTATCATTGTTTCTGTATATGTATAATTCTATCATATAATTGTGCCCGTATATGTATATATATGAATACGAACTTTATACTGTAGTCCTCCAAAAATTTGGGTAGTTGCGCAGCATGTGATGCGATGAGAATACTTGCTTATGCACATCTAAATCACAATTTCTGGGCTTATCATGATTAAGACGTTGAATTTCTTTTAATAATTCCTCTAAATTTCTCTCTTTCTTTGATTCATATTTGCAGATTTTTTGGATTTAAGAGCATGTAATCTCCGTTTTTTTGTGTATTATATTTAGAATCGGGCTTATCAGGATTCATACATATGAAAGCCAATCATGTGCATGAATTCCCATCAAAGATTTAAAGGTTTTTAGTTAGCGTTATTGTTAGTTTACCATATCTAATATCATTGTCTCCGTATATGTATAATTCTACCATATCATTATTTCCGTATATGGTATGTGTATATATGAATACGATGATTGCGTACGTACGTACGTGCGACTAGATCTCGACTTTATACCATAGATTTGGATTTTGGGTAGCTGCGCAACATGTGATGCCACGCAGGACCAGCACGATTACGTCTTTATGCACTTTTTATTAAATCTTTTGTTGTATGTTTATATTTGATATCATTTTTTGGTTCGTGTTTTAATCGTTATTAGTTTTATGGTGTCTGGTTTGAGAAGCTAGGAATTCATTTGAATAATATGTACTGTATTGAGCATTATTTGGTAAGAAAATACGTAATTGTGTGAACTAGGGTTTGGAACCGATTTTATTTTTCATATGTAAAAACTGATTAAATCCGGTTTTAACGTATGAAAAATAAAACCGGTTCCAAACTCTAGCATGAATATCTTTAGGATACAAATTTTGGGTATAAAATAATTCAAATTTTTAAGTTCGGCTTTTTTTCGGGGCGTTCATAAAATGAACTGAAATAGATATATATAATTTATTTTTAGCATTGGTTCTTATATAGATTAAGTCCTATATCTCTTTGTTGATTGTTAATCGTTTTAAATTGACAGCAGGAATGAAATCGTATTAATCTTTTCGTCATTGCGTAATTTAACATTAGCCCTAAGTTAAAAAAAGTTTTAGTATACAAAATAGTTTTATCAGTTTATATATATATTAATTATATTAAATACTGATTAACCAACATAGTTGATGAATCTTTATTTTAATGGAATCATATTGTTAATGGCTTATATTATTAGATGTATCTGTAGTTTTTAAGCTAAGGCTTATCGTAAGTTGAAATTTTATGATAATTGTATTGCTATCGTGGCATTATATAAATAAAAGGGTGATTTGTTGATTAAAAGTTCCTTGCGTTCGTGACTTGTGCAATGTCGTGTTACATTGATATGATTGTAAAAATCATTCAAGTCGTTAGTTCGTCAAAGAAGAGTCGAATTTAACTGTTTGTGTAGGTGATAGAAACATATCTGGTTGATGGAAATAGTCTTGTTTATTTCAATGAATGAAAAAACGAATATTATAGTTTTGGTGGAAAGGTTATGCCTGGAAGTTATAATCACGAACCTAGCATGACCACCAAAATCAGTTACGTACGGAGTTAAAATTATTTACCGAACAATTTTATTAAAAATATATGATGCGTCATTTATGATGACATTTAGTATGACGACGCCTGTTTATATGATATTTGTTAGTTTGTTAATATAGTAATAAAAATTTTTCTTGCCAAATATTTCGTAAAAATATTTCGTAAAAATCTTATTAATGGAAACTAGTTATTTAACCCAATCTAATTCAAATTATTGTTCGTCTTGCCGCACGATAAAACAAATCAATGAATTCGAAAATAATAACAAAACATGTATCGAATGTCTAACCCGTGTAAATAAAGGCAAAAAACGGAAACTTCAAGAGCGAAATATGGACGATATTCGTGAAATGCAAGAAAATGCTATAGAACCTGAAGAACTCGAAGATGTAGTTTATAAAAAACTGATGGATAACATTGAAGATGAGAGTTCTCGAATGGAACTTAACGTAATTATAAGTCTTACAGATTGAATTGACAAATTAGGAAATAGCGTCGATGAATCACATACAAACATATCGGCGGATTTTTGGAATTTACTATTAAAAATTCCAATAATATTTAACTGTGAATAACTTTTGATCCACTGGTCCGTTTCTGATGAAACAATTACCAAAATGTTCGTCTCATCGAGACGAACATTTTGGTAATTGTTTTATCGGAAACGGACCAGTGGATCAAAAGTTATTCACAGTTAAATATTATTGGAATTTTTAATAGTAAATTCCAAAAATCCACCGATATGACTTGATAGCAAATGAAATCATAAAGCACTGTGAGAAAGGTGATGGTTACTCTTATGTTTATCATAAGAAGTATTGTAATAAACAGGAAAGTATAACATTCACTTATTGGTGCAACTGCCGTCAAAGAGCTAGAAAAGAAAACGAAGAAAGTTTTAGATAATTCTAAGCAATGCAACACAGAGTCACAATTGGATCGTTATAACTGTAGAGGTGCTATTCTTGTTAGAATCGATTTACAAAATAAGTTAGCATCAGTAAAATTAGATCATGCTTATTTACATCCACGGTCACAACATATAGGCATTACTGAGGAAATTAAAAAATATATTAAAGAGAACTTGGATGTTCTATAGAATAGGTGGGCAAACACCGCCAACTCTGCAACTCCAATAGTAAAAAATTAATGATTACTAATTATTAGCGAAGCTTATTTCTTATATTGCCCACCTATTCTATAGAACATCCAAGAACTTAGTATATTCTGCACCTGAATTATTGTTAAGCGGTGAATTGTAGAGTTTTATTTATTTATGTACAAAAAGATATAATTTTGGGAATAAGGCAACTTGCCAGAGGCGTGACTTTGGTGATTTGACAATAATTTGTTTATTAAAAGGAATTATCCGGATATTGCATTAAAGGTATTATGAATGAATTCTTGGAATCCCTCAGGATGTCCTTTTACTAACGCGAATTCTCAACTCTTTTATA